GGGGGGGGGGGTTGCAAGTCATTTTGAGAACGTCTGTGTATATGTGCAGTATAAATATTTAAAGTAAAATAAATAGTACGGCCCGTTTGTTCTGGAGTTACATAACAAACTAGTCTCAAAAATTACAAGGTCAGAATTTTAGTGTGAGCCAGTCTCATGATCATGATTTAGGGTTGTCAACCACGAGGTGGGCCCTGGAGATCTCCCAGAATTACAACTGATGTCTTGTTCTCCAGGAGGAAATTACTGCTTTGGAGGGTAGACTTATATACCTTGAGTCCCTGCCCAAACCCTGTCTTCCTCAGGCTCCACTCTGCCATCTCTAGGAATTTCTCAACTTGGATTTGGCAACCTTAATTTGGTTCCAATGGAGGTATATGTTTTTAAATTTCATATGTAATTTTGGCAGTTTAAGAAGAATTTTGCTCTCCACTACCATTCTGTAATGTACTGCCGCCGCGTCCTTTTGAGCCCCACGGCAAAGCGCTAACCCCAAAGCTTCGTCCGGCAGGAACAATAGACCTGTGGATCCTAGCCCGCACCAATCACAGGGCCAGGTCCACAGCCGGGAGCCTATGAGACTCCCGGCTACTGTAAGTAACCTATAGGGTCACTAGGGGGTGTGTTTTAGGTGGTGGGTTCTGTACATATATACCGGCCTGCGTGCCAGGGGTTTTCGTCTTGTTCTGATCTAATAAAGTACTCTTTGCTGAATCACTCAAGGTTTCCGAGTACTTTTCACATTCCTAACCCACAAGAATGTTTCCCACATGTGATGTATTTTTCTACATTTGGTGGTGTCTGATACTTTGGGGGAGAGACAACTCAGCAGTTTGAGGCTTCAGATATGAGGGGAAAGGTTGAAATTTACATATTAGGTTAATGTAATGTTTTAAATTTAATGGTGAGCGCCCATCTCTAGTTCCAGCTCCTGCCAACCTAGCAGTTCGAAAGCAAGAAATTGCAAGTAGATAAACAGGTACCACTTCGGTGGGAAGGTAACAGCGTTCCGTTGAGACATGTTTAGTCATGCCGGCCACATGACCACGGAAATGTCTTCAAACAGCGCTGGCTCTTTGGCTTTGAAACAGAGATGAGCACCGCAACCCTAGAGTGGAATTTGACTGGCTTTCGAGCAAGGGAACCTTTACTTTATATGTTTTGACTTCTGGATGTAATTTGAATTGGTGCAGTAGTGGGAAAATTAATGTATATGTTTTGCATATGCTTTATCATGGGGATCTGTAAAATATAATAGTCTGGACACTTACCACAGCAACAGTGTTTGAGCAAAATAGAAAGGAGGGTATTACAGAGAGGAAGGGAAGGTGGCATGGTATAGCCCACTCCCGTCAGATCTTGGAAGCCAAACAAGGTAAGTACTTGGAAGGGACACCACCAAGGAAGACTCTGCAGAGGAAGGCAATGGCAAACCACCTCTGTTTTTCACTTGCTTTGAAAGCCCCTTGCTGGAGTCATAGGGTTTCCAGCTCTGGGTTGGGAAATACCTGGAGATTTTGGGGGTAGAGTCTGAGGAGGGTGAAGTTTGGGGCATAATGCCATACAGTTCAACTTCCAAAGCGGTCATTTTTTCCAGATGCACTGATCTCTGTCACCTAGAGATCAGTTGTAATAGCTGGAGCTCTCCAGCCATCACCTGGAGGTTCAAGCCACAAATGGACCACAGTGACAAACCAAAGGTTGCAACCCACCAATGTTCACTGTGAAAAAACGATTCTAGTCCAATTACAGTACACCAATATGCTTCTTTTTTCCTTTATTTTACATCATGCAGTGCTGCTGCCACTTCCAAACAACTGCCATGCGACTACAGATTTCCCTGGTAAACAATCTGTTTCCCTCAATGCTTCATCAGGTCACTTTATACTTGGAGCCTCAGCCTCTACATCTCATACTCAGAATTTCCTTATAATTTGCCTAAGGAAAATACAAGATTAATTCTGAGTAGGAGACATAGAGCATTGGCTTCAAGTATAAAGCAACCTGATGAAGCATTGAGGGAAACAGATTGTTTACTTGGGAAATCTGTAGTCGCATGGCAGTTGTTTGGAAGCGGCAGCAATACTGCATGACATAAAATAAAGGGGGAAAAAGAAGCATATTGGTGGACTGTAATTGGACTAGAATAATTTTTTTCACAGTGAACATTGGTGGGTTGGAACCACCTGGAGGTTGGCAACCCCATGGGGTCACCATAGTTGGCTGCAACTTGACAGAACTTTACACACACACACACAACAGAAAGAGGCCAGTTCAAAACAGGATCCAATCTGTCCAGTAGGTTTTTCATTTGGACACTAACAGACTGAGTGCACTTATTTGTTGATCTCGTTTTGAACTGGCCTCTTTTTGTAACATCCCCTTCCCTTTTCTGTTGTATATATAATTGGTTGTGATGGAGTTTTAGTGTAATCCTAAACAGAGCTATGCCCTTCTAAACTGATTGAATTTAATGGCTTTAGACAACTATAATTCTGTTTAGGATTGCCACTGGATGCCTGCTTTAATTTAATTAAAAGATGAAATATTTCTTCCATTGCAATCTTGAATGGCCATCCCCTTTTTCTAAGGCAAATATAGATGGCAAATATGTCAGTGCTCCTTCAGATTTTACATTGCGCTGCTATTTGAGTGAACAGAAACAGTATTTCAACAAGTCTTTTTTAAATTTTAAAAGTAGCCAATCAAACAATATGAACCAGCTCTCTGTACAGTACAGATACTGGGAAGAATTCCTGGAAATTCAGGGGTGGATTGGGATGGAAAAATGGTCTGGGAAAAGGGCCCCACCCTGCTATGACCCAGCCCCTAAGGGAGC